AAAAAAATTCGCGAGTCTATTGAACTTTCGGTCGCCCCATAAGCCCCAAATCAAGGGGTTCAATGAACCCCACAAACTTTTTTTTGGGGCTGAAAGAGATCAACGACACGCACTAAAATTACATACGGCGAGACAACAACACCTCGTAGGCCTCAATTCGCAAAAAAAATAATACAACAAAATGAAGAGAGACACGCACAAAATGCGAAAGTCAATGAACTCACACGCACAACACACAAAAAACAAAAAAAAAGGCAGAGAAATTCGCAATCGGAAAAAAGTGCGTAGCCAAAAATTTGCGAGATCAACGCACGCACAAAAAAAAATGGGGGAAGGGGAAAAAAACAATAAAGAACCCAAGCAAAAATGTTGCCAAAAATCGCGAACTACCTCTCTTCTCGCTCTGTCAACATTTTTCAAAGTCAAGTTGAAGAGCGTGCGAATATATATGTTTGCGCTTGTATTGCGATTATATCTCTTGTTGCTTTTTGCCAATTCTCTCTCGCTCTCGCACGTTTCTAATCTATCTCTCTTCGCATTTTTGCTGCTTACGCAATTTCGCATGTTTGGCAAACACAAAAAAAAAATACATTAAATATCAAAAAAAAATTTTAGCAAGATAGAAACGAAAGCTTGTGCCGTTTATCAGTCACATTTTTCATATAGTATATATTCGACGACAATAATTTCAGAACAAGCATATGATGGTAACTCTACAGTCAGTTGTAAATATATACACCTATACACCTATAGGAATTTGTACGTAACATTAGTAATATTTTGCTATCGCAACAAAAAAAAATTTTAAAATAGCAAAAGGCACGTTTCCAGCACCTCCAAGCATGACATTAGGCAAAAATAAATAAATAAAGACAAATATACCGAAAATGTAGAGTAAGCTAAAAATCATACAGTTATGACAAACTAAAGTAGAAAAGATAAATATATTGCATAGTATTAACAAAAAAAAAATTATAATCATTTAATTAATTTTGAATATTTTTAAAAACGCTTCTTTTTGAAACATAAATCTATTTTTATAATAGGTATCAACTTTAATAAAAGTTTTTATTATGTTATAATATGGTTTCAAGACAACTTGATAAGAAATAAATCTTCATCTCATAACATAAGCTGATAAGCTAAAATTTATGCAAAGTACATATTTTTTAAATTATAAAACTCTTTTTATAGTTTTGAAATATAAAATGTTGCTAATATGAATTTTTTAATCATTTTTTCAAATACTTTGAATGATTCTCTTTGTAAACTTAAGGCCAAATATGTTGCTATTATTAAAAAATTTTAGGCTTGAAAACAGCATATTTTTTCAGCTTCTGACATTTTGCGGATATTAAAAATATATGAGTAGTTTTTCTTTATTGGCACCTGTCAATGTTTGCGTTTTTCCGATGCTTTTGCGACCTTCTGACCTCTCAACGGGAAAAATAAATAGACATACGATAAATTCATTAATCAATGACAAATAAAAACAAGAAACATTTTCTCACTGCCAAAAAACATCATTTTCCAACTATGCAAATTTGTCTTCCGCAAACAAAAAAAGTGTGCAAAAATTCCAAAGCATATATGGTGAAAAAACATATGTTATCTGTATCTGTTTGATTTCGTATGTGGGTCACACACAAATGCAAAAATGCGAAAAACGAAAAAAAAAAAAATTCGCACGCACTCATAAATGAAATCAGCTTGTGGAGCCGGCTGCGTAGATTGCGTATACGCAATGTGTGTCAAGGACAGAAATGTGCGAATTTTTTATGGCCCAGCCACTGCCGCCGCCGCTGCTGCTGCTCTCTCGCTGGCACATTTTTCGCTTTGCGCTGAGAAATGTTTAATTTTCCACAGCGGCTAAAATTAAACACAAACGTCAGGGAAACAACAACATCAAAGCACCTACTGAACTAATTTGTGTGTGCGTAGATAGCATTGAAATACTGAAATACTGAAATACAGCTGTGCGACAAAGCAGCCCGCTAGAAACATTTTTTGTCTGCCATTTCTCGCTTCTTTTTTTATGGGTTTGCCTATTTTTGCAAAGTTTACTTTTTGTATTTTCGCCACTATTCGCAATTCACGCCCACGGTCAAGCCAAAGGTCAGGCCAGTTGCCAGTTACTCGCCGCGTTTCCAGACCTCTAAGCCCACGAAACAAATGAGCAATGAGTGCAAACACATAGGGGCACACACAAGTCCGCAGATGTGTGTTTTCCCCCGATTTTTATTTTAATTTTTTATTTTTTGTAATTTTCTCTTTTTAATATCGCCATGGAAAACACTGGCGAAGAAGCTGTGCGTAGGTATGCTCTCAAAATCGGGGCGAAAAATGTGTTTGTTTGATAAGATCTTAAATGTAGGAAAACTAAAAAAAAAAAAAAAAAAAAAATTAATTGTTTGTCGAATAAATTTGATAGGCAAAACCATTTATTTTATAAATTTAAGGAATTGCGTAATGCTTGCGAGGGTATAATTTTGCACACATTTTCGCACATAGTTTATACATGTGAACTTGGTTCCGCGCTTCTTGTGGATGTATCTTTGTGGCTTTGTCTCTGTATCCATCCAAGCAGCTGCTTCTGGGCTTCGTCACTCCCTGACCCCCGGAACCCCCGCCTAAACACCCACCACACTCTTTTTTTTCGCCTATCTCCGCTGTCAATGTGTGTCAAATTTCCAATTGGGTCGCACGCACAAGCTACTTTGTTGTTATTTGCGAATTTTTTTTTTCATGTGTGCCTGTGTGAGTTTTTTGCGAGCGCGTTGATCGCGGAAACGAAACAAAAACCTCGCCAGTATGTGTGTCTGTATTTTTTCTATATGATACGTTTGTGTGTGTATGTGAACGCATTGCGTAATCGCCGTTGTACGCTTGCTCTTGCTAAATTTTTTTTGGTTGATATTTTTTGGACACCAGCTTGACAACAAAACAAAGCCAACAAGACAGCAGCAAAAAAAAAAAGGGCGAGGGACTCCTAGTTGGGTTGACTTGGTAGCTTTTGCCTAGTTAGCGCCTTAAAAAAAATCGCACATTCATATGTAGATATATGAAGATATGCTTAAAGCCAAAAAAAAAAAACAAAAAACAGTTAGAAGTCAAATGGCGCAAGAGCAAAGCAACAAGCAAAAAAGAAACACCAGAAGAAAACCAGAAAAGAGGCGGAGAAATTGGGAAACCCAAGATTCGACAACTATATATGATATGGCCAAATGATCTTGGAGATGGTAAAACTATTTAATTAAATAAACGAAGAATATAAATATACTGTTTATGATATTACCCTAGAATTAATGATATTTAAGTTAACTGATTTATTATATTTAACTATTTCTAAACTTCCACCATGAAACTATTTTTACTTTATATTAATTAAATTTATAAATATACAATTATTTGTATTCAATGGATAGTTTGACATATTCTTTATTTTTTTTATAACAACGTCTTAAAAAAATCATAATACACTTGGCAAAATAATAATAAAAAAGGTTTGGCCCGTAGATGTGAGCTTTTGTTAGTGGTTTTTGAAGCGTCATCAAAACTTTTGCCAAGCAAAAGCGACTTTAAATTGTTATGCGCCAAAGAAATACAAAGATTTGGGATGATTCAAATGAAACTCTAATTAAGGCGACTGAGGTGGTTAAGTTGGATCATTCTATCAAAAAGTTTTAAGTACAAGAAACATTTTAAGAAAGTTTTGGCTAAATGAGGAAAGTAAATTAAAGACGTTCTTTGAAATTAGAAGATAAGAACAGATTGTGAAAAGTAAATATGAGAATCACCTAATTTAGTATAGTTGATATTTTTTCTTAGTTTTTAGTTAGATTAACCCAAACGTGAGACATGGAAAATATACGGGATTTAATTACTTGTTTTGTTACCCTTTCGTTTCCAAGTCAATATTAAATTCTTAAAAACTACTTAAAAAAACATTCCACATTTCTGTAGCTTAATCTCATTCTATTAAATTAATCTTCTACCAAACAGGTAGAATATACGTAAAATTCGCAAACCAATTCTACGAAAAAATCCCGTAAAACTAAAGAAAAACAAACAAATTTTCGTGACATAGGCAATTCAAACCAAAAAAAAAAAAATAAAATAAAATAAAATAAACTGACTTTTGTACAGTTGTTTCTGGCTTGGTTCTTTTCTAATTCTTTTTCTCTTCACCTTCTCTATGCGGAATTGAAATGTTTTTTTGTTTGACTTTGCAGAATTAGCAGCCGCAAAAAAAGTTTTGCGAATTTTTTCGTTTCTCTCATTTTTTTTATTGTTTTATTTTTTTTTGGGTAACGCACAAAAGCGCGTGGAGAACAGCAACAAAAAATAATAGAAAACGTAGAAGAGCTGTCCCCGAATTTAGGTCAAATGCTCAACGACGCTGCTGCGTGCCGATTGGCAAAAAAAAAAGGCAGAAAAAAACATTTGCGAATTTATTTTTTTTATTTTTGCCTTTGCTGATTTTATTTATCTTTTTTTTTTGTTTTTGGTTTTTATGCCAGTATGTGTGTGTTAATGTTTTATTAGCTATTGTTGCTGTTGTTGTTTGGTGCTTAACTAACGGTTCATCAAAATGATTGCGCCCGCTTGGAAATACGAGGAACACGCGGCAATAGACGAAATAAAAAGCCATAAAATTGCCTAGAAAATTGTTAGTGTTTTTTCATGTTGTCTCAACCGAAATGTTATGGTTTAATTATAGCATTTTTAGGGGACTTTTTATGTTGGCGATCATTTGAGAATTAAAGGAGTATTTTTAGTAAATAAATTAAACCAAGGCTTGGGGCAATAGATGCCATTTGTTTAACGTGTAAACTTGTCCAAAGCTAATAATAAACCATAAGATCTGATACTTTTTTCTGGTATATCTGCTTTATAATAATATATAAATTAAATATGAATGCATAATTTTGAAGCTTTAAACGAAATTAAATTGAATACCATTTGATATTTTTATAACACATTTCATTGAAATTTAACTGTTTTACATTGAATTTTAAATATATTTTGCCTCGCAATAGTTACATAAATTAAGTACAATAATTTTTCACTTTCAATTTATTTAACTAGAGTTATTTGTGTTCTAAGGAAAGTTTCCTTTGATATGAGTTTGTGTGTTTTATCTGAGGGCAAGGGCATCTGGATAAAAATAAACTTAACAAATATTTGTGCAAATAGATCCATAGAGTTAGGATCTGGTCTTCAGGGGCTGGTGCATCGTGAGCCGCCGGCGAACACAGCCAATGGCTAGATCCCAGTTGTGGACCGTCTTCAGATCGTCGCCCCCTTTAGAGGTTCTCTTAACCTTTGACCCACCGCTGGGCGGACCCTTTCGTTTGACGGTCGTCTTCTTTCTCCGCAACTTGGGCCCACCGGGTGTCGACTTTTCGGCTAACGGTTCCGGAGTAATTACTTTCTTCACCCGCTGGTGACTTTTCCCTTGACGCCGCCTTCCGGACTTTTTCATTTGCACACTGGCCATCGAAAGGATTTTTCGAATGGACCGGACACGCCTCACGACCGGAGATGGCGTTAAATTCCGAATCCGGCGACCGGAAGAGGGGGATACCCTGGAAAATTTACGATTGGGTGCCGGCGGTACCCGCATTGCCGCCGCTTTGGGTGGCAAATCCAAAAGATTATCGTATTTGGGCCGCTTTTCAATCAGTGCGCTCCTGATTCGGGATGGTTTGGGGGGTGGCTTGTAGGATTCCAGGGTGTAGCGGGTGGACCGCTTGCCACCCACCGAGGAGCGGCCCAGGGACCACAGGCCCTTGCTCTCCTTCTGGAAGGCGCGGTAAATCAGGTGCCGCGGCACCGGGATCGGTAGCTCCGCGTGACGTTGCTAATCGGAAAAAGAACAACAAGAATATTATAAATCCATTAGCATCGAAATCAGATAAAACATCATTAAAACAATAATATTCTTATGTAGATTGTTAAAGAATCATATTTAAGTATGAAAAGTTATTGATTTAGAAGTGTAGTTTATTGGGTTAATTATTCGCAAATGCATTTTCGAAAAAAAATATATGGGAAAAACATCATGAAATTTAAAAATAAAAAAGATACTGTTTTTATTTATTTTGCACTCAAGGCTTAAAATATTATACTAACTGAATCATAAAAGTGGCACATTTTAAAACATCTAATTGTTATAAATTGTTGTCCCTTAAACTCCGATATGGACTTACCGAATCGTAGAGCTCCCGCTGGCGCATACTGAGTCTCGGCCACGTGAGGGCGGCCCGCTCCAGCCCCTCGTCAATGCTGCAGTTGTGCATGATGCAGAGTTCGCGGACGCAGTTGTAGAACTGCAGCGGATTGGCATCACGTGGCTTGAAACGGCTCAAGGCCTTGATCAGACGAGCCCGCTGTTCCCGCTTTTGGTTCTCGGAGGAGGACTCCGCGGTGGATACGGAATACGCCTGCTCGCCTGCACCTTCCTGGTCCTTGGCCATTACGATTTTCCCCTAAATTAAGTCGCGAACTACCGCGGTACCGCAAACAAATCAGTGCACTTTCAATTTTGACTCGAGATCTGTTTTCTTAGTTTCGTTCAAGAATCTTGCTGGTTTTTAGTCAGACATTGAGAATTTTAACTGATATATAAAAAATCACGAAAAGTGTCGATAATGTCTATTCCGGACCAATACTCTGAATAAAATGACTTCGAATCGGGTAACCTTTCTGGCACTTTAAAAATAAAACGCTGCGACTACTGGGTTAAAAAAAGTATTTAACTAGGTTTAAAATATTTATCTATCTGTTACTATGAAATATTAGAGTATGTGGTTCTTTTGTAAAAAAAAAAAAATTTTTCTAATAAAGAAAGCTAAAATTCTACAATTTTTTGCTATTATAAAATTAATAATACTAAGAAAATATAAAAATAAAACTGGATTTAAAAGTAGGGAAAAAGCTTACCCTTTTAATTGAAACTTACAAGATAATGAAGTAAATGATAAATAAATAATAATGAAAAGAGCTGGTAACAGGATTGAAGTGAACATATGAACACAATGGATCTGCATACATTGCAATGAAGAATCAACGAAGGGTTTCGGACGACAAAAAACTCTATTGATCCAAAGTTGAAGTAGAAACGGAAATGACTGACCTATGTTAAATTTCGTCTTTGCTAACAAATCTTATATGAAATCTATTGATCTATAAGTTGAAGTAGAAACGGAAATGACTGACCTATGAACAGATTATAAACAGATACAATTTTCTAATGCCAACATAATGATAAAGATGGCAAAGTTATTTGCACTACACCAACATGATAAATTAGATAAAGTTCGAAATTTATAAAATTCAAATTTAAGCATTACTCTTGGACAAGGTATATAGTTAAGTTGTTATTTTGATCAATAAATAACTTAGTTCGATCGACTTTTTCATTTTTTCCTTTTTTTTCCCCATTAACCCATTCTTCCCTTAAAAGTCGTTTGGATTTGTGGTGGCTAAAACTAAAAATGGCTGCCAATGGGTTAAATGTGCCGGAATCGCTCCCTCTCTTTCCTTGGCACTCTAGGGGCACTATTTCCATCCCGCATACACAAACACACACACACACACGCACCGGAGGGTTAGCAACCCTTACCGCTTGCACGTGTGTGCGAACTCTCACCCTCAAACAAAAAACAAAAAAAAAAAATCGGAGGCATTTGTTCGACCATTAAATGCGTTCAGCCAAGAACTCCAATAAGAGAGGAGTGGGGGTTAAAAGGTGGAGGAATAGGAACAGGAAGAATAGTGTGTATTTCTCTAGTTTCGACTTGTGTGAGTGTGTGTGGATGTCCTTAGCTGTAATCGAGCTACCCCTGTCCAACAAAATAAACAAGGAAAGGAGGAACAGGCAACACACACACACCACGCCTTCTCTTTGTCCTACACAGACAGAAATAAAGCTTTATTTAACAAAAGTAAGGAATTGATCAGTTGGACAGTATGCATGTTCACAGAAACGCTGCTAGATAAAAAACAAATTCACTAATATACAAACATTTAAAAATAATAAATATTTAAAACAATAATGATTTAAAATTAGAAATATTTAAACTAGTTTATATTTAAAATAATAAAATTATAATTAAATACAAATTAATAATAAAACAATCTTTGCAAAATCTTGTTAACTTCATTTTGCTTTAATGGTTTTAACGAAATCTACGCCAAATTCAAATCCAAATTATGATTAATTTTTATTTTTTTTTTTTTTTTTTTTTTTTATAGTTTTCCACAGTTTTTAGCAGTGTGAATTTTTGAGCCTTGTCTTTGGAGCCTTGCGTGTTTCGATTGTTGTTACTATTGTTGTTACTGTTTTCGGGGGTTTTTCTATAGCGATTTTCCAACAAATATTTGGACTATTCGTAGACATCCAATATGCATGGGCTTTTCTTGTTTTCGTTTTTTAGGTTTTTAAACCTATACTAAAACGAATGGCAGAAAGAGAGGGCGATAGGCTGGAGGAAGTGGTGCAGGGCGGCCATTGGAATGAAGTTATAGTAGAGGTAAACATATATGCATATATATAAATGCACTTGCACAGGTATAAATATATGTATATATATTTGTATATATATCTCCCTTTTTGCTCAACGATTCGCTGGAGCGTGCAGTGTGCGAGGAAGACGGAAATATTGGCCGCAGATGGGAAAGGGGGGTGTCGTCATGTCTCGTGTGAAAATATGTTTTCTTTCATTTTTTTTTTTATTTTTTTTTTTTTCTTTTTACACACATTTGCATTTGCGCAAAAAGTGCAAAAGTTGACACACGCAAAACTCGTCAGCTTATTAGTATCAATGTGTGTGTGTGTGTGTGTGTGGGGATGCACATAGTTTACTATATATATGCGTATGTATAGTTGTTCGCCATTTTGCTGGTCAGTTTACCCATTTATTTTCTTTCCTTTTTCATTGTTTGTACTGCCCATTTATTATTTTATTTGTATTTTCATTTGACCCTCCAATGCGAACCCCCAGTGCACTTAATGAAATTCTTTTTTAACGTATTTTCACCATCTCTTTCTCTCGTTGCAGGTGAGTGGCGTTTTTTTATTTATTAATGGATTTTCCATTTACCCTTGAGAATGGTTTGACACAAGGATTGGCGGCCAAGCGAACAACTTGACGTCATTCCAAAAAGAAGAAAGAGAACGAAATTGCATCGAAGAACTGTGATAAACGAAAAGTGAGCTAATTAGGATAGTTAAGGTACTTACGTATACATTAAATGGAATTAAAATGGTGCCTAATGAAAATAGAGTTCATTTGATGAAGACTCCAGTTAATTGAAATGTTATTCCAAATGGCTGAATTATTAACAATTAAAAAATAATATATTTGGCCCTGGGCTTGGTATAAAAGACCTTAAATGATTTAATGAATTATGTTGGAATAGTAAACTTAAAAAGAAAAGAATGTTTTTATTTCTCAAAAATGACGGTATTTATTTACTAAAACTCATTACAATTTAAATTATTATTTATCTTGACATAGAAATTGAACACCAATCTAAGTTTCATTTTAACCACTGAACTGTTGATGCAACGTTTAATGTTTACTAATTATATCAGCCAGCAAAAATTGCTGCCTCATCTGGGGAACCCTTCTTCTCATTTTCCCCCTGATTTTTTTTCTGGCTCTCATCATTTTTTGTGTGGGCTGCGAAAAAGTTGCGAGTGTCAACAAACAAATCCAACAGAAGCAGAAATGTGGAGATTTTTTTCATCCTGCAATCGCAAGACTTGAAAAGTAAACAACAACAAAGTAGCAAAGTAGTGGGTACAAAATCAACAAAGAATGCCCATAGAATATGACAATGTTGTGTAGAGATGTGAAAAGCAAAGATGATTTCAATCCGATGCCAAAAAGAATTAAGCCTAATAAAATCCGAAAAGGTAGAAAAACTGCGATGGCAACATAAAACCGCGATAGGAGTTTGCACACAAAAGAAAATATTATTGTTATTAGCGAATAGGCATTTTCATATTATCTTATTACAAAAAAAAAAAAAAAAAAACAAAAGTTTATATGTAAATTATTATAACACGCACGTTTTTTTTTAATATGATTTTGTGATATTTGTGTCAAAACAATTTTTTTTTTGCGTGTAAATCCTTTGTTTTTACCTCCACTTTTGAAATCTTCTTCTCGGCTGCAAGTGTTGTGCTTTTGGCATTTCCCGGCATGACGGAATGAGCCCAGCTACATCCCACTATTCCTTCGCAGCACCTACACTTTGGATCTGAAAGCTACTTGGCAGCCTCCCACTGATCTTCCCTTTGCAACTCGTTCTTATCTGGAATTACTCTATTTCTGGAATTTATGAAAATATTAAAAAATGGTACTTGTCTTTTACAATTCACCGATTTTTGATATTATTGATGTAATATCTTAAAACTTAATTACTGATAAAATTTGTATTTGAGCCAATAAACCTTAAGAAAAATCTTAGTTGTTAAAAATTGCAGTCAGGAAAAAATTTTTTGTCGTTATCGAAAATGTTTGGAAAATGTATTCAAATCTTTGATCATTAATTAATTTGAATTCAAATTTAAATCCAAATATTTTTGTTTTCAATTATTAAATTTATTAATGTTTGATAGTGCATCCAGAGCTTGTCCTCTCAAAGTTACTGAGGCGCTTTGTCTTTCTTCTGACAGAAATTGCAGCTTCTGATATGGTTGTTGTTGCACTTGTAATGGTTGTTGCTGTTGCAGTTGCAACTTTTGTTGCTGTTGCATTTTGGTTTTGGTTTTTTGCTGCACGCAGAGCACGCATTTCCAGCGTGAAATGTAATTTCTGCGCTAGAGGAATTTCAATTGTGTTGGTGAGGCCCGAAGGGGGATGTGCGCGGGAGGCGTTGTTCCCAGTCTCCAACTCAAACTTAGTTACACTCTAAAAAATATTTGAAAAGAATAGAGTACTATGTTGCATTTTTAAAAACTTCGGATATCATTTTAGACTTAACACTTTAATTTTTAGTTATGTCCTCTATGAGTTCTTTTACAAAAATATAATGTTATCAATATTTAATAATAGTATTGCAGTAAGAGAGTGGTATTAAAATAGAAATATACGCATTAAAGGTTTGTTTTTCTATTCCCAGATCTGCCCTGATTCACTTTATAAACAATCAAAGGTTCCTTTAATTTTTAAAAATGAAATATTTTTGTAAAATTTTCGTGGCATTTATATTTTTGACCTGTGTATTCATGTGTATAATTTGGTTTTCCTTTTGCCGTTGCAACTCCCGCAACTGCAGCTCAGGAACTCAGAAATAAATGGATGGATGATGGGCCAAGTCAGTCTTGGTCTTCAGTCTGCAGTCTTCAGTATTCAGCCTTTAGTCTTCGCTTTGGCTTAGACCCGGTTCAGTTTTGGCGTTCGTCAGTTTGCCAGTTTGTCAGTCACTCAGTCATTCAGTCAGTGAAACGTACGACGCTCACGCAGAGCACGCAGCTCGAATTGTCTTCGCTCGATTCTTCGCCCCTTTTCTGCAGTCTGCAGTCTTCGGTCTTCGGTCTTCCGTCCCCAGTCTTCAGTCCACAATCTACAGTCTACAGTCTTCGCTTTTGCGGCATTCCTTCCGCAGACCCAGCTTCCACTTTTCTTCTCCTGTTTCTCGTTTCTGTGCACTTCTTTTAATGTTAGTTGA